GGAAGGTGAAGCAAAGAACGGTGAATAAAGAAACTTGCCTTGTTCAAGTACTTCTTATGAACCTTCAGAGCCTCATTTAGTGCTTTCTTTGCATCCAAATTCCCAGTTATCTCACCCACAATCTGGAAAACATGTCGCCGTCAGGACCAAAGAGATACAATAATGTGGAATACACAGACAAGGGGAGAGATTGAAACAAGACCTGGACAACATCATCTAGGCCCTTTGCCTCTTTCATAAACCGCTTTTTCTTGGTCTCAAGAACACTTGCAACTAGGAAAATGGCAAGGGCATCATTCCGTTTTGTTGCACCAGTTCTCACTTTTTTCCTCTCAAATTTGCCATACTGCTTTAGCTGCTTATCATTTACTTTACGATCATATACTAGCTCGGGAAGTTGTTCCCGTGTGTTGTCATACAGTGAATATATCTTTGGGTTGTACTCCATGGCCCACATCACCTGAATGAAGTATGTTCAAAAGTAATATCAGTTAGAAGACTAAAATAACTCCAGCCTACATTTGCTCATCACTTGTCCTGTTTCACAGTTGAAGATATAAATACCCTCGTCCTTTATGTCAAACTAATTTATGTGATACTCTTCTAAAACACAAAATCCACAGATCGCCAAGTTGAATAACCCTTTTCTTGTAAGAAGTTAAGAATGTGTCAAGTAAAACAATGGAACAAAATTGCTCACACCCAGTGTTTACACCAAACTGCATCAGTTTATCATGGTTAGTCATAAAATTAAGGTGAGAATGTGTATTAATTAACTACTTATGATTAAGTGATATGCAAATACACGTCATATGTTTATTGGGTTTGTGTAAACACAAGTAGGGGTATGCTTTTTCAATCATGCCTCTCAAAAGCAAAGCAAAGACCAGTGTCTCACTCCTGTCAGTTACACCAAACACCAGGATAAACTATTTTGCAATATTTTCTTCTGTCTACCAAAACAATAATGTGAAAAGAAGTTTGAGCTTCTCACCTCCCAAAGATAGAGTGCATCGACAAATGAGAGCTCTCTGCGGAAAAGTACCATCAGCATGCGCAATGCAAATAGATATTCTCCACCATCTAACTCCTCTGCCAATTAAAATTGAAGTCGGTGAGTGAGAGAGAGAGTTAACTCTATGTTATACTTTCTCCTCCCTGTTTTAGACTCTGGTCAAGATTGCAGTTTGTGAATTCCTTAAACAAATTTAGATTGCCAAGATATTTCCATGAAAATTTTCTTCTCTATCTGCAGTGTCCCAAACAACATATATGAGGGCCATTTTTAACATGGAAAATCCATTCTTCATCATGATTAACATTATGATATGCGAGTTTGGCCCCCCAACTTAATAAACAATATTAGACATTCAAATTATCCATCAGAATCTGCAAAAGGACTGCTAGATGACGACAACGACAACGACAACAACCCAGTATAATCCCACTTAGTGGGGTCTGGGGAGGGTAGTATGTATGCAGACCTTACCCCTACCCTTGGGTAGAGAGGCTGTTTCCAAATAGACCCCCGGCATCCTTCC